TTTAATAAGAACAAAATCATTGATTTAAAATCTACAGTAATTAAAACAGTGTGGCACTGGCATAAAGACAGAAATATAAACTAATGGAATAGAATGGAGAACCTCTCATATTACGGTCAAATGATTATCAGAGAGGGTGCTAAGTCCATTTAGTGGGGAAGGACAGTCTTCAACAAGTAGTACTAGTAAAACTAAATACCAACATTTTAAAAATCAAGTTGGACCCCTTATCTTATACCATACACAAAAAGTAACTCAAAATGGACTAAAGACCTAAATGTAAGAGCTAAAAATATAAAACTCTCAGAAGATAATAGAGGAGAAAAGCTTTATGACATTAGATTTGGTAGTTATTTACTGGATAAGACAGCAAAAATACAAGTAACAAAAGAAAAAATTGAGAAACTGGACTTCATAAAAAATAAAAACTTTTTTGCATCAGAGGATACTATCAACAGAGAGAGAAAGAAGGCAACTGGAGAAAATATAGGCAAATCATAAATCTGATAAAGGATCAATGTCCAGAATATATAAAGAACGCCTACAACACAACAACAAATAAACAAACAACCTATTTAAAAAATAGCAAAGGACTTAGTCATTTCTCCAAAGATATACAAATGAAAAGCACATGAAAAGATGACCAACATCACTAGTCATTAGGGAAATGCAAATCAAAACTATAAGGAACCCAGCTGGTGTGGCTCAATGGTTGAGCATCGACCTATGAACCAGGAGATCATAATTTGATTCCTGGTCAGGGCACATGCCTGGGTTGTGGGCTTGATCCCTGGTAGGTGGTATGCAGGAGGCAGCCAATCAATAATTCTCTCTCATCACTGATGTTTCTTTCTCTCCCTCTCCTTTCCTCTCTGAAAACAATAAAACTATATATTTTTAAAAACTACAAGGAAATACCACTTCACACACATTAGAATGGTTAGTTCTAAAAAAATAAATAAAAGAAAATAAGTGTTGGCGAGGGTATAGAGAAACTGGAATCCTTGTACATTGCTGGTGGGAAGGTAAAATGATATAGACTCTATGGAAACCAGTGGTGATTACTCAAAAGATTAAATAAACATAGAATTACAATATGACCCAGCAATTCTACTTCTGGGTATTTACTCAACAGAATGGAGAGCAGCTACTTCAACAGATACTTATACATCCAGGTTCATAGCAGCATTATTCACAATAGTCAAAAGGTAGAAGCAAAACAAGTGTCTACTGACAGATGAATAGATTAAAAAACATAGTATATCCATACAATGGATTATTATTTAGCCTTAAAAAAGAAGGAAATTCTGACATACGCTACAACATGAATAATCTCAAGGACATTATGCAAAGTGAAAAAAGGACAAATACTGTATAATCCCACTTACATGAGGTACCTAGTGTAGTCAATTCATAGAGACAGAAAGAACAGTGGTTGCCAGGGGCTGAGGAGAGGGGAGAAAGTAGAGTTAGTGTTTAATGGGTACACAGTTTCACTTTGAGAAGATGAAAAAGTTGTGTAGATGGATAGTGGTGAATGTTGCACAACAATGTGAATATACTTAATGCCACAGAACTGAACACTTAAAAAAGGTTAAAACAGTCCATTTTAGTAAGGTATATTTTACCATAATAAAAATTTTGTTCTACAGAAGACAGTGTTAAAAGAATGAAAAGACATACTACATATTGGGATAAAATATTTGCAAATCAGATATGTAACAAAGAATTGTGTTTAGAATATATAAAGAACTCTCACAAGTGATCAGGAAGAAAATAAACAGCCCAATTAAAAAAACAGCCAAAGAACTGAACAGACACATCAGCAAACAGGATATAAGGATGGCAAATAAGCATATGAAAAGATGTTCAACATCATTAGCCACTAAGGAAATGCAAATTAAAACTACAATGAGATACCATTTCACAGCTAATAGAATAACTAAAATAAGTACCAACAATACCAAATGCTGACAAAGATGCAGAACAACTGGAACTCTCATACATTGCTGGTGGGAATGCAAAATGATTCAGCCACTCTGGAAAATGGTTTGGCAGGTTCTTATAAAGTTAAACAAACACTTACCATATGACCCAGTAATCCCACTCTTAGATATTTTACCTTGGAAAAATAAAAATTTTATGTTCACACAAAAACCTGTACAAGAATGTTCATATCAGTATTATTCATAATCACCATAACCTGAAAACAGCTCAAATACACTTCAATGGGAGAATGGATAAACAAACTTTGGAACATCTATACAATGGAACACTACTCAGCAAAATGAATTGATACACACAACTTGAATTAATTTCAAAGGCATTATGTTGAATGAAAGAAGCTACTCTCAAAAGATTACATATCTTGTGATCCATTTGCATGAACATTCTCTAAAACAGAAAACTACAGTGATGGAAAACAGATCAGTAATTGCCAGAGATTATGGGTGGAGTTGGGGGTGACTACCAATGGTCAGTATGAAGAAGTTTTAGGGTGATGGAGCTGTTTTTTATCCTGACTGTGGTGATGATTACATGAATCTACATGATAAACATGCTTTACAATTCACAGAATTGTACACCCCCCCAAAATCATTGTAAGTTCATTTAAAAAATATTAGCTATTATATCATCATCATTATCATCATCAATATTTATACTTTACTGAATAATAAAAATATTCAGAATTACTTGTGAAATAAGATGTAAAAAATATTAAGATTGTTTTATGTCTGGTACAATAACTTAAAGGTATAGAGAAAAAACTCAACAACACTAAATGTAAAAGCTTTACAACTTCTTCTAGCTCCTCTCTTTAATATTCTATATAAGAATAATATGCTCCCTCTGGATAATTTCCTATAAACATTGTCATATATCAGATATGGAATTAAATAAGCACTCAACTTAGAAGTCTGGGACCCTAGGTTACATTCCTAAATCTAACACTGTAAGAAAACTCTCAACTTGCCTTTTGTGCCTAATTTTATCTTCCTCTTCATTGAGGTCATGTACTTGTCTGCACTTGTCTTTTTGTGGTATGCTGTGAAGGTTTAAAGCAAGGAGTTTCAAAGATAGGAAACAGAACAGATTCATATACTACCCACCCACCCCCAAATAACAGGCACTGCTCTGATTCACATGTATTACCTCAATCTTCTGAACAATCCTACTATATAGCTACTATTAATATTGTCACTTTACAAACAAAGAAACTGAAGGACAGAGTGATAACTTGCCCAAAATCTTATAGCACCAGAATTAAGTGGGGCACCAGAATTTTCCCACGAGTCTGCCTCCAGGAATGTGCCTCTAGAACCTATATTCTTAATCAGTATGTATTAATGCCTCTCTACAAAAGGCTATTCATTTGTTCTTTTCTTCCTTCACCACTGCTCTTCCATGTCTATGGTATCTAACAAACCATTCATTCATTCTCATGGCTTTACTTCTGATCTAAGCATAGATGATTCCCAATTCTATCTAGTTCTGACCTCTCCCTTGAGCTTCACTGTTGCATTTCTAACTGCCTCCTCAATATCTGTATTAATGAACCTGCCATTCTCACTAATTCAACATGTTCAAAATCAAAGTCACTATTTTCCTCAAAATTTCCCCATAAAAGCTTTCTTAATTTTGACAAGTCACACAGCCTTGAAACATCTGAATTATCTTTGATACACTTTTCTCTATTGATTGTCCTCCTTCAGCCTCAGTCAACAAGTTTTAACAATCCTTACCTTGTAATGTCTCTTACAATCATATCTACCTCTTTCTAATTCCACTGCCATCATTCTAGTCCATATCTTCATGTCTAAGAACTCTATTACCTCCTAAATCATTTCCCCTGCTTCCATTTCCTCTCTCTCATCATACAGGGGGTGGGGTGGGGGAGTAAAAGTAGGTTTACAGTTGTGAATATGTAAAACACAATTTATTCTTGTATTATTATTTATTAAGTATTGTATTATTTTTCCATATAAACCTACTTTTGACTCACCCTGTATTTCTTGGTCATCAGATTAATCATTTTAAAATACTGGTTTTCTCATGTTACTCCTGGTTCAAAAACCTTTAACCATATCCAATCTAACTAACTGAATAACTAACTCTATATAGGTCTATATTGTCTACCACAGAAAGGTAAAAACTTTTAGCTACCTTGTCTCTCACAACATCCCAGAACACATCATAGTGCTAACAACATCTGCTGCGATGCCTTTCCTTCTCACCCTACAGTATTAAAGGAACATTTAAATCTTACCTCCGAGAGGCCTTCTTCAGTTATACCAATGCACAGTAGCCTTTTCCTCCTCTGAACTCCTATAGTACTTAACAACTGTATCTAGCATTGTTAGTAAGATGTCCTGTTTCTCTCAAACTAGACTGTAACTGGCTTAAAGTTGGGAACTATTTCTTAAACTTCTGTGCACCTTACACAGTGCCTAGCAAAACTTATCTGTTACACTCATTCTTTCTGGTTAAGACACAGACCATTTCTCTATAGATTTTGTGCTAATTTATGGTTCAGTCTAAAAACTTTTACAATTTAGCCTCACCTATCTTTCTAGTGTCATCTCCTGTAATTAATTCCCTGCCAAAACCTATACTGCCTGCCACACTGACCTTTTCATTGTTCCCAGGTCCTTTCACAATCCTGTTCCTATTCACCTATTATCCGTAATGTCCTTTCTACATTGTTAATCTGACAAATTTCTGTTAACCCATCAGGACTTAGAAGAAATGTCAATTCCTGACTACCCCAACTACACTTGATGCTCTATGTTCTGTGCTCCCTCCGCATTTTATTCACACGTCTACAAATAGCAATTGAATTGCAACTAACTCTGAACATATTTCTCTCTCTCACACATTCCTCAAAGTAGTGAAAGTTTGTCTTTCCCCTACCCACTTCACTAACTCTTCATATTTAATGCGCTAATGGTAAATCTCTCTCTTATTGAAAGAACACATCAACGTTAGTGCTGATCACGTACCTTGGTAATAAAGAGCCTTAAGGAAGGAGTGACGATCAGCACCCTGAAATAAAGATTTTTCTATTTCCATTTCTCGCCGGGTCAGCTGTTTGCTCTTTGCAAATCTCTGTGGCAGGCAAAGCATGCGCTGACGCTCTGAGATCCTTTCTTCAATATCTTGAAGGCAGTTCTGTATTGCTTCAGGGGTTGCCCTCAGTCTTGTCCTCTGAAATCAGAGAAATGAGAGGGCATATATCATAGAGGACATACGCTGAAAGGGATGGTCTGATACTTAAAGTAAGAGCAATGATGATCCGGGTCCAGAATGAGCATTTATACATGTGGTAGCTAATTAGTCAAGGGATAGCTTCTTTTTTCCCAAGGTCTGTCCTAGGAATCAAAGAAGATTCAGACACAAAGCTTAGTTTTGTGAGAATTAAAAATAAAAAGGGTCTCAGTGCCAAATGAAGAGATATTGCTCTGCATTTTCCAGAAAAAAAAATTGCCCCGCTCACCTTTTCACCTGAAACATGGCTCTTCCAGATCAAGATTTCTGTTTCATTGAGCCCTAGTTCCCTGAGAGCAGCAGTTTCCTGGTCCTTCTCATGCAATGTTTGGAACTGGGACAAAGTCATAGTTCCAGCTGCTTCCTTCCCAAAGGGCTTGTACATGGTACCAGGAGCAAAACTCTCTTTCTTAGACACACATCTGCAAACCCAGAATGAAGAGAGTAAGTACATCTTCGAATTACAATTCACAGAAATAGGGCTTATCATTAAAAGAAGCACAATAAAACTCATCTGCAGTTTCTCACTCATGTCCTATTTCTAGGCTGAAGTGCCACTATAACAATATAGAACTCCACCAATAGTCCCCTCATTCAGGACTAATAAATGACTGAATCAAATATTTGATTATTGAATATCTACTATACATCAAACACTGTGCTGGGTATTGAGGATTTAACAATTAAAAAGATAAAAATGGTTTCTGCTTTTATGGAAGAACAATAGGAGAGGAAGTAAACAGGCAAACGATAATATTGGATTCTAAGTGCTAAGTATGCTAAGGGAAGATATAGGAAAGATACTTAACATAGATGTAGTAAAATATAGGAGGATTTGCAGAGTTAGAGACATAGAAGCAAAACCCTGCCTAAAACATAGAAGTTTGCCAAGGAAAGGGGGGGTGGGAGAGGAGTGTTGAATCCAGGCTTTAAAAGGGGCCACACAGAGGTGAAGGTCTATGATACTCCACCTGTTTGCAAAATCAGTACTTACTCCTCAATGGAGACAGAGGTGTCAAGTTGATGCTGAAGGAGGCTTTTCAGCTGCCTCTCCCCTTCTGTTTCTAACTCTTCTAGGACATGATCATCACTCTTCACACAGCTGTTTACCCTACAGTAGCACAGAGAGCAGGAGATAGTGAAACCTCAAATTCGATTCTTTACCTATATTATCTACCTTTAGTGATCACACTTGTTCAAAGACCCTTCTCTAACAATCTGTTGCACTTTATATTCATTTCATAAACATTTTTTAAATACCGACTTACACACAACACACTGTAAGGTACTGATGGAGTCAGAGGTATTCATAGGCCCTATCCTCAAAGAGCGTGTAATTTATTTAGGGGGAGGAAATATATATGTGTGTATGTATTGTGTGTATGTGCCTGGCAAGGAGGGCAGTAAGGAAGGAGAGAGGAGAATGACAATAAAAAGAAGCGTATGCCAAATTAGTAGGAGTTCACAAAAGAAAGAAATGACTAGGAGTGAGGAGGGTAAAGGAAGATTTCTTTTTTTTTTTGTAATATATTTTATTGATTTTTTACAGAGAGAAAGAGAGGGATAAAGAGTTAGAAACAACGATGAGAGAGAATCATCAATCAGCTGCCTCTTACACCCCCCCACTGGGGATGTGGCTGCAACCAAGGTACATGCTCTTGACCGGAATCGAACCCGGGACCCTTCAGTCCACAGGCTGACGCTCTATCCACTGAGCCAAACCGGTTTCGGCAAGGAAGATTTATTAAGCAGGCATTTAAAGGACTGTATGATGAAAGGAAGAAGAGGGACGGCAAGTATGAGATGTTCTGGGGTTAATGAGAAGTTCAATTTAGCTGACATTCAACTATGGAATAACTGGGGAATAATCTTGGAGGGGTAATTAGACTCAGATCTCAAATGGCCTTAAATATACCAACTAAGGGGCCTGGATCTTAATGTATAGGTATTAGAAAGTAATTTATTAGGCACTTAAGTGGCATGGTACAAGTGATGCTTTAGGAAAAAGAATGCAGTTATAACATGTCTTATGTATTAGTAGGAGTAAAAGCTAAGTAAAAGATAACCTCCAATTTTTCAAACTGAGAGAACAATGGTACCAATGTAGGAAAAAGGAAGCTCCAGATGAAATAGTTTGGGAAAAGGGAACATCAGTATTGTTTTAGCCATGTTGAGTCAACTACCTATTACAATGGAAATTCAAAGACATATTGAGTCTGAGGTGACAGTATCAATGATACTGGCTTAAAGGAAAGTGATATATGGAAGAAATGTCGCACAGATAAGTATTAGGCTGAACATGGAAATATCAAGTCATATGTAGTGTCAGGATCTGGAGCTGTGAAAAGGAGATCTCCAAAGGAAAAAACATAGAAACAAATATGAAAGGGGTCATAACATTTTATAGCCTAGGCACTACTGTACAGAAATCTAGGTAATGCTAACATAAGCCAACTAACCATAAATAACTTAAAACACTTACTAGAGTATAAAGAAATAGCAGAATTATTTAAGTAGGCAATGACAGATTATAAAAGACAAAAAACTGAGCTAACTCCATGAGGAAGATAAATATTAAAATACCTTATAAAATAGTCCTTTATTATTGGGGCCTAGGAAAAGTATCCCTCATAATTAAAAGCAAGATTCTCATGCTCTAGAAAGACTTATACCTCTTTTAGGAAATAGGTATAAGTCCCATTTGTTAAAATATCCTTAGGCCCAGAGTTTTAAAAATTCCTTTTAAGTATCTTAATTTTTATTTATTATTTAGAATTCAGAAAGTTTTTGCTACGTTTAAGGTGGCTTTGAAATATGTAAACCATAGCTAAATACTCAAAATGTTGAGTAAAAAAAGCAAGTCACGGAAAAATGTATACAATATGTGTCCATTTATATAAAGTTGAAAAATGGATAAAACAAGCAATATTTTGTTCAGGGATAAAGTCATAAATTATAAAACTATTTTTTTTTTTTTAAAAAAGAAAGGGAACGATAAGCACAAAATTCTGGATAATGGTCCCTTGAGGAGGGAGAGAGGAGAAGTAATCTGGGAGGGGGACACTGGGGAATGGCAGGTCTAAAGCTTCTAGTGGGTATGAGTCTACTATTATTCTTTAAACTTTATATATACATTATTTTGCATGTATGAGATATATCACTAGAAACATTTTTTTAAAAGTCATTTTGAGGCAGGGAAAATCAGAACCAGTTTCTTAAAAAATGCAGAAACTGACAATGCAGGACAGCATAGTATCAGTATGAATTGTAAAAACACATCACTATTCCAGAGCGATTATTCTACTTGCAGAGTGAATACAAAACTAATTTGAGAACCTTAGAAAAGGCTTGTGGACTAATAGGGAAGCTCAGGCTTTCAACAATGACCCGCCAAGTTAAAGCTGCCATTTCCTGCAGAACCAGTGGGGGGAACTGCTCGCACCAGTGCCTTTCTTTTCCTATGACATTGAATCGGTTTTGCCTTCTAAATTTGTAGAACAAAGTATGACTTACTTTAAGATTTGAAAACGTTACATGCCCGTGTTTTCTTTAATACACAAACCCTGCAAATAAAGGAGCCTACCCAGGTACCCTTTCTGAGGACAGGGTGGAGGTAGGCGGAGGAGCTGGCCTGGGTTCCCCCGGCAAAAGACATTAGTCGGCCAAAACTCTTTCACCTGGGTGGGTCCACGTGCAATAGGAAGAAGCCACTGCACGTGTCCGACTCCCGTGGCCCGCGCTGCGGCCGAGATGCCTGGGCTGGAAGGGCATTTCTGTGGGAACCAGCAGCGGCGGCGGCCCTTCCAGAACTTCACCCAGCAGGCCTGCCTAGCCGGTCTCCTCTGCTCCCTCTTTTGTCTCCCCTCTCACACGAAACCGCATCCCGAGATCGTGATACACCCCCCACACAAAGTAATAAAAGCCACTTTAAGTTAAAAGGTAAAACAGAGTTCCCTTCGCTGTCTGTTCAGACAAGCCCTTACCTCTTCATGTTTCCACAGGCCCTTTTCTCTAACTTGGATCAACAGGCCTCGGACTTCAAGTCCCAGAAATCTGCGCGGCCAACTCTGAGGGGATTGTGGTGGAGTGCGGGGCTCTGGGAATTGTAGTAGTGCAGAGCTAAAGAAAGGGAAAGAGAAAGTAATTAATGTATTGAGTAACTGGTATGTTGTAAATTGTTCAAGTATTTCTCTTAAATTTCTTTTAAAGGTTAAAGGCAACACCCAAAATATCCAGCTCATAAACTTAGAAGTAACCTTTGACTTTTAAAAAAATATATATATTTTATTGATTTTTTTACAGAGAGAAAGGGAGAGGGACAGAGAGCTAGAAACATCGACCAGCTGCCTCCTGCACATCCCCCACTGGGGATGTGCCTGCAACCAGTGTACATGCCCTTGACCAGGGACCCTTGACCAGAATCGAACCTGGGACCTTTCAGTCCGCAGCCCGACGCTCTACCACTGAGCCAAACCGGTTTCTGCAACCTTTGACTTCTTGACACTCTCATTCGGTATCACCAAATCCTGGTGCCCCCAATTTGACATGTCCTTTCTAGCCCGCTTCTGCTTCCAAGGACTTATTATCCCGCCTACCTGCTGTTTCCAGTGGAGGTCAGTCCTGTGTAATCACAATGATCAGACACAAGTTTGACATCACTTGTGCTAATGATTCTCCTCTATCTGTAACAGAAACTTAAAAGACATGTACTTCTGGAGAATCAGAAATCCATATGTATTCAGGCCCGTGAACGATTTATTAATTATGGTTAATCAAGAAAGGGATACAGCATAGTGGTTAAGAGCATGGGCTCTTAGTTCCCAGAAATGAAATACTGATGTTCTTAAGTATATGGGGGGGGCGGGGGAGATATGTTTAATTTCACCTACAAGATGGAAATTTCAAAGTACACTGACTATAAAACAACTGACCTGTAATCCTCAAAACCGTCAAGTTAAAAAACATGAAAGGTCTGAGAAACTGTCACAGCCAAACGAACCAAGAGACATGGTGATGATGAAATGCAATGTGGTATCTGGAATCAGAAAAAGAGCCCTAGATAAAAACAAAGGAGATATGAATAAACTTGCACTTTACTTAATAATAAGGCTCATGAATTGTGACAAATATACCAGTTATGTTAAGATTTAACATTACGGGAAGCTGAGTGGAGGTATATGGAACTCTGTACTGTGCAACTTTTCTGTAAACCTAAAACTGTTCAAAAATAAAGTTTATTTTTAAAACGCACACTATAGTAACATTTTTTACCTACCAGATTGGTAAACATCCATAAGTTTGAGAACACACTTGTTTTGTTGAGATCATGGGGAAATAGGAACTCTTAATACATTGCTAGTAGAAAAGTAAATTGGTACAACCTTTGTGGAAGGCAATTGAAATCATAAATGCTCATTCCCTTTAGCATAGCAATTGATTGTGTATGAATTGTTTCCTCAATGTTATATAGTCTCAACTATATATATATATATATATATATATATATATATATATATATATATAACAACATTGCTTTTAATTTAAAAATACTGAAAAAAAAACTTAAATATACATGAATTTGATACATCCACTCGATGGAAAACTCTTAGCATTCTCAAAGATGACCAAGTTCTATATAGAGAACTGGATTGTGAGGGACAAGAGTGGGAAAAACTCTTCAATCTATATATATTTTTACACCCTTTGAATTTTGAACTACATGATTATATTACCTAACTGACCATTAAAAATATTAAATGGGACAATTTTTATATCACAAAAAGTCAAAGAAGAAAAATGGGTTTGGGGTGGGGGTCACACTGATTGGATTTCTCAGTTCCCACAGTTATTGACAGTATAGCATAGTAGTCAATCTGGATTTCAATGTTTGCTTTGTCAAGTTATAAGACTATGTGAGTTTTAATAAGTTTCTTTATAGGCCGGTTTCCTCATCTGGAAAATGGGGATAATATCTCAGAAGAGAGTGACTATAAAGTAATATACAAAAGTATGGTTTTAAAATCACTTGGCAGGATGGCCATCTATGAATAAATATTCCAATACATTATCTAATAGGTTCAGATGTATTAAAACTAGCTGTATTGCCATGGTCAAGTTAGAAGATAAAACCAAAGAGCAGCTTCTGAAAGACATTGTACTTTCTATCCTGAGAACTACTAATAGATAAAAAATCTCATGGGAAAGATTAGCCTACACCAAGTAAATCCTATATTGTGTGGGGCTGAATTCTACTGCTCAAGCAAAATATCTAATTGATAAATTAATCAATAAGGAAATGGAAAAATACACCAAGATTGCTTGTGTGTTTATTCCTTGGGAAGGGGGCAAAGGGTGAAACAAAACTACACTAACCACCACATCAGACTTATATACAACTTTAATACACACTACATTACAAATGCACTAAGTGGGATGGGTGGAGAATGAATGGTGAAAAGATATATTCACATAGGCTGAAATTGCAACTGGATAGCAAGGTCATAAGAAAGTACTCTATGTGCCTGCATATGACTGTAGCCAGCCGAAGTGGCAGGTACCAAGGGACAAACATTCAGAAAATTACACCAGGTGGAACACCATGCTATTTCTAGCTCTGCCAAACTTATTAACTGTAGAATAATAGCTATTCTGTTTTCCATGACACCCTTTACTTACTTTAAAAGGATATCAGACAGTATATAAAAAACTTTGAGATTTCTAGATGTTATTCACAGGCATAGAGATATTAGTATGAGGTCATTTCACCCTTAGAAGAATTTATGACTAACTGAAAAATACGCCTCATTTGTCTTTCTGACAATTTAACAAACTTGGTTTAATTAAGCCAGAAGCTCCTCCTTAAAATAAACATATTTTCAGGATTTGTTCTTTTTGAGCCCTTTGTTCATAACACACTTTTGATGAATACATTATGAAGCAATTTCCAGATATGGAAGAAGATGCTAAAACCAAAAATCTTTTCTTGAAGAAAGATAGGATCACTCATCTAACATGAGATAGCATAAATGCTGATATAGAGAACAAATACAGCATCTTAAAAAAAAAAAAAGTAGTCAAGCACTGGGAAAATGTAAACAAACAAATTAAAAAATTCTCCTTCATATAATTTTAGCTGTTCTTTAACAATGATTACGAGGGGCTCAAGATTTCGGCACCTTACATAAATGCTGCCTTAAAATTACTGGCAAAAATAGGTTATTTATCATCTTTTAATTAATATTTGTTCAACAGTGTCATGTTGAACCAGAGTCAGGAGGAACCTTAAAGATAATTTAGTCCAAGGTTCTAGATTCCAAACAGTACCAGTAAATTTTGCATTGTTACTGTATTAAACTAGAAACCACTTGCTATCCACTGTTATTTTCTATTTCCTGGAAAAAAAACCCACAAAAACAGAACTCCCAGTACAAAGTCAATAGGAGTACTGTAGCCTCCTCTTTCTTTACTTTACTAAGGAAATTTATTTTTTATTTATTTATTTTTTCACTTTTTAAAATTAAATTATTATCTGTGTACATATTTTAACATTGCCCCCCCCTCACATACATAACCACCCTCCCCAGAGTTTTGTGTCCATTGGTTGTACTTATATGCATGTATACAAGTCCTTCAGTTGATCTCTTATCTCCCCCAGATCTCCCTCTCCTCTGCGCTGTAATTTGACAGTCTGCTTGTTGCTTTACTGTCTCTATATCTATCTTTTGGTTCATCAGTTTTAATGTTCCTTATTATCCATAAATGAGTGAGGTCATGTGCTGTTTCTCTTTCATTGACTGGCTTATTTCACTCAGCATAATGTTCTCCAATTCTATTCAGGTTGCTGCAAATGATGAAATTCCTTCTTTTTATGGCAGCATAGTATTCCATTGTATAGATATACCATTGTTTTTTGATCCATTCATCTGTTGATGGGCACCTAGGCTGTTTCCAAATCCTAGCTATTGTAGATTGTGCTGCTATGAACATAGGGGTGCATATATCCTTTCTGATTTGTGTTTCTAGTTTCTTAGGATATAATCCTAGGAGTGGTATTACTGGGTCAAATGGGAGTTCCATTTTCAGATTTTTAAGGAAACTCCATACTGTTCTCCACAGTGGTTGCACCAGTCTGCATTACCACCAGCAGTGCACGAGGGTTCCTTTTCCTCCGCAACCTCGCCAACACTTGTCTTTTGTTGATTTGTTGATGTTGGCCATTCTGATAGCTGTGAGATGGTACCGCATTGTTGTTTGGATTTGCATCTCTCAGATAATTAGTGACTTTGAGCATGTTTTCATGTGCCTCTTGACCTTCCTTCTGTCTTCTTTTGAAAATATTCTATTTAGGTCCATCGCCCTTTTTTTAATTGGATCATTCATTTTCCTTTTATTTAGTTGTATAAGCTGTCTATAGATGTTGGAGATTAAACCTTTATCAGTGATATCATTTGCAAATATGTTCTCCCATACAGTGGGATTTCTTGTTATTTTGTTGATGGTTTCTTTTGCTGTAGAAATGCTTTTTATTTTGATGTAGTCCCATTTGTTTATTTTCTCTTCAGCATCCATTACCCTAGGGCAGGGGTCGGCAACCTTTAAGACATAAAGAGCCACTTGGACCTGTTTTCGAAGGAAAAAAAACACCTGGGAGCCGCAAAACCATTGCGACATTTAAAACAAATATAACACTGCATATATTGTTTCTTACCTTAATGCTATATACCGGATCGTGCAGTTAGCTGTCAATCTGAAGAAAAAAAGGATTTTTTCACTTAACAATGTAAAATATAGTTTTGCAAATTAATAGCTAATTAAAATATTTAATTTACCTGGTTAATGGGATTTTTGCTCCTGAACCACAGTGCACAGTGTCTGCACATCAGGGCTGTAAGACGTTACCTTCATTTTCACACAGATTTGCAAGTTGTCATCTGTGAGGTGTAATCGATGTTTGTTTTTAATATTGTTCATGTTGGAGAAGACCTGCTCACA